AAGCAGAACAGGAAGCAGAACCATGGTTCCAGCAAGCAAAACAACAGGAAGCAGAACAACAGGAAGCAGAACAACAGGAAGCAGAACAACAGGAAGCAGAACCAGTCACCATGCAGCAGCTTTCCATCACAGCAGTGAAGCGGTGGCTGGATGGCAGAAGGCCGGCTGCTTTCAGAGCACAGCAGTGATATTGTTACCTCCGTGTGGATGACCCTGAACCCCCCCACCTCCATTATAACGAGTGAATCTGCTTAAACTCTAATTGTAAAGAAAAACAAGTCATTCTGTTTACTATTGTCCTCCGTCCTTCTGGGTTTCTAACTCTTAATTTGTTCATATTCGCCAACATTTATCAAACCAAAGCTCGACCTTGTTTGTTAAAAGTGTCAAAAAGTAAAAGTTTGGATTTTCTGGAGGAGCCTTTGTCTGGGAGTACGCTTCAGGAAGCAGGGAGAGCCTGTCAATGAGGTGGATGCTAATTGGGCCAAAACGACTGCAGATTCAGACATAAAGAGGGACAGACGTTAACGTCCACCTCTGAGTCTAAAGATTCAAACTGGATCAGCAATCATTCAGTGTAAAACATACTGGTTCTGACGGGTACCAGTGGTGCAGGGCCGTGGGAAGGGCAGATCGCTTCCGTCTGCATCACTGCTCTCCATAGACACACAGGAAAGCTTTCTAGGAAGGTTATTGGCCAATAAGGTGAAAATATTTGATCACTACTTTTATTTCAGTTAAATGATGAAACAATGAGTGTGAAGTCTGAAGCCTGGATGGACAAACGGCTTCTCTATGCTGAGCTTCATCCTGCATCAAACGATGAGGGAAAGTTTCCCTTCGATCTAAACGTAAACCTGTTTATAGACAGAACGGCGACAGCGTCTGAAACACGGAGGAGAAAAGATGAAAGGAATAATGGAAACCATTTCAAACGGCTCAGGGTTCGTCTTCGCTTTCATTCCCATTCTTGTTTTCGCCAAACAAACCAATCAAGCTGCTACACATTCCATCATGACCTCAGAGTCAACCAATCAAACAGGCAGCGCCTGCGACTCATCTCGCTCCTCACAACCCATCTGGCTGGGAGCAGAGAGGAAGAGAAAAAAATGTGGCTTGAATGCTTCATTAATGTTTTTAAATCCTCCGCTCCCCTCTTGCCTTCGTCTGAATAGGCACTCTGGTGAAAAAGGGAAAAAATGCAATCAGTACTCAGAGCAACCAGCCTTGACTTTCTGGGCTTTCTCTGCATGGCTGAAAGAGAAAAGCAGCCTCTCCAAACGGCACTCGCGGCTGCCGGAGGGGAGACGCGCGGAGGTTGTCTTTTAATGAGTTGTTCTTATAAAAGCCTTCAGTGGTGCAGCCTCTGACCATGGCGCCTGGAGTACCAACAGCCGCTTCTGCCGCTGTTCCTGATCTCCCAAATAACCAACATCCAAACACACGCATTAGAAAGTTTGGGACAGTCAGGAGGGATGAGGGAACTTCCCGTTCCCTCACACCACACGTGTTCCTGTTCTATAGGCGAGCAGAACAGTTTCATTTGTTCAGATTTATTCAGAATCTGATCGAGTCAGAGTCTGCGGGGAAAAGCGGCGGATCGCATGAAACTCTGGCTACAGGTTCGTTTTTCTGGTGTCATTGTTGGTGACATCGACAAAGAAACCAGATATACGTTTTTACATCACGGCTAAGCTGATGTTTCCAGAAACACAAAATCCTGAACTTCCTAAGATGACGGCTAACAGTTTAACTCCTCCCCCCCAGAAGGGGGCGCACTCGTGCTTACCAGCTCACCTTTGTGACTGTTAGCTTTAGCAAACGTTCGACTAGTCCAGAAAAAAATCAGCAACCTGAACAGGGGCTTCTATGCAAAAAAAAAAATGGACTCAAACTTTAGTTTAAGGTCACACTTGTAAAAGAATAAACGTGCCAATTTACGAAATTTATAGAAATATAAGAGAACAAGTAGCAAGCTAATAAAAAAAAAAACCTGCAAATTTAAGAGAAAAAAGTGGCAAAATTTCCAAGATTTGCACATGTACATTTGCAGAACCATGTGAGATTAAAATAAACTTGAAAGTCGCTACATGAAGCACATGCAAATGCACATTAATACATTTGCAAACATTTGCATGTTTTTTCTTCTAAATTTCCCTATTTATTCTCGTACATTTGCTACTTGTTTACTTTCAAACTAGCATATTTATAATTTGAGTATCTCCTAAATATGCCAATATAAAGTCAAAAATGTAAATTCCAATTATGTTTTTTGTCTTTGAATTGTTCTCATACGCCTTCGTACTTCTAGGCTCCTGTTTCCAGCGCTCAATAGATTTGAACCCGCTGAGGAGCAGAACCCTTTCATGTTGAAATAGGAACCAGAAGTAAATAAACCACAAGTAATTAAAAAATCAATTTTTTTTTTCTAAAATTATGGCTTTTATTCAGCTCATGTTTAAACGCGGTGTGGATGTGTTATTTTTTGAAAAATACATCGTTTGATGAAAAAAATTTGTCTTCATAGACTGATAAGAGCTTAGAACTGAAAAACTGAAGGATCTCTATAGAATCAGATCGACTCCATTATCCAGAAGAAATGAGTCACAACTATGAAAATTAAAACATCTGCCTGATTAAAATGACAGCCATCAATAGGTTATGATTAATACAATTTCTCAAGGAATCAGCAAAAATAAAACAGGTGACTCCGTTTCAAAGATGGGGTTTAGATGGAAAATGAGGAAGATGATGAGTCCTCCTCTTCCTCTCCTCCATCATGAGAGCGACTCTGCTCAG